TTTCATTTTTCCAAGGGATACTGAACCAGTCAGCCTTGTATATGCGATCTCTATCCAACCCACAACTCTTTCATCTCCCCTTTTACTTCAAATACAACATTGTGTTACTCTAAACACACAAGCTGACTGTGATTGTCTTACCTTTGCTGTAGCACCTGTATCAATTGGTGACGATTCGTTGCTTCCTTACAAGTTTGATTTAATAGAAGGAGGAATATTTCTACCTGGTAGCAGCTATGGCACCATTTTGAAAGATAATTTTTGTTTAATTGTTATTTTAAGAAAAATAATGGCATTTCTATATCCGCCTATTGACTACTATTATCAAATAGTATATCAGGCTGAGGTACCAGGGAGTCAATGGCAGATGACATTTTGTGCATGTAAAAATCTAGTGGGTTATAAAGATGTAAGTACTTGCATTAACAACACCTTGTGTTTATAATGTTTATAGCATATTAGGGATTCTTTTAAAAATGGTATCCAAGGCGTTTCAAATACATTTCAATTTCAAGAACCTGATGAACCAATGGAATTAGACATTGGAGAATGCAGGATTGAAGGCTGGTCGATAATATCTCAGTCTGCTGCCAAAGTGAGAAATTTTGTACATGAATGGGTACATGTCCATCCATTTTCATCCTCAGATTAGCAAAGAGACAATTGATAAGTGGAAATATTCTCGGGGTTCATTTCCAAATATTATTTTCACAATCACTTCTAGTGAAGGAGCCAAAGAGAATCTAGAACATAAAGTACTGTTAAAAGGAATTAAATCTGACTCCGATTATTTCAATATTATTGTGAATACACAAAGTAATAAAGTTGCTATTAGCAATCATAATTATTATGATTATGATAGGAGAGGATGCATTTAAGTACCGTCAGGACAACCAGGAGCAGGGTATGAAATTAATATTTATTTTAGATTATAAACATTTTTAGAAAATGCTCCTTTTCATGAGTTAGTTTTATCTGGCTATGGATTGCGAGCTACATTTAGCGGCATAAATAGTAAAGGTACATATCAACTCAACTCTATAATTTATGATACATGATATAGTTGCATTTGATGTTTTAGCAACAAAAGATGCATTTATCAAGGAATCTTTTACCGACATGACATACTTGGCTGATAAAATGGTTGAAAGGAATATTATTAGAGATGACAGAAAGAGAAAAATAGTCAATGGTGCCCCATGGCTTCGATCTGAGCAAATGCAAGAGTTGCTTAATGATTTGAAAGATGCTGTTAAACTAGATGGAAAGATCTTTACATGGTTTATAAAAACTCTAATTGATCATGGCACTGACCCATCACAAGCTATTGCTAATAAATTATGGCAAAGTTATGAAGTATGC